AAAACACAGGCGGGAACAACCCAGAACAGCAGTGTAAACAATCTGCCACAACACTTTTGCGGAGGCGACCTTCGGCGACACACGGCTCGTCGCTCTTGCTGACGCCGCCTCCGCGACGCCGGCGCACACTCGTCCGGTTGCCAACTTTCCCCTATCCTTCTGTAGAGAATAAATAAAGTCTTCTACCCAACTGGCGTCTCGCTTCCTACAACTTGGGATATGGCCCGAAGTTTTGGGGCACTGAACATGCACCATCACCGTTTAGCCGTCACAGATCTTCCAGGAACTGGGTAAGTTGGCTGCTGAAATGTAAGTGTTGAACAGGCAAAGTTTACAGAATAGTATTCAACTTACCTCAGGGTAACTTGCCCTATGGCCTCCTGCGGGTTTCAGACGGAGCCTCATCTTGGAGATGACGAGACGGCGGTCTGTCTACCTATCGGCACCGCAGATCGCCCTACTCACCACCATATCCTGTCGATCGCTCCGCCGGAAGAGAACATAGTACAGAAGGTGCTAGAGCCGTGACCGAGAATGCATCCAGGTCGCCTTCTTTCCCATCGGAAGGCGGGAGCCGTTGAGACCATGGGGACCCAGCATTCCCCTCCAAGCAACATGCTCCGTGACGACGTGAGTGTTGAAGTTACAAAGGACAATCAACTTATCCGACTTCGGCACAGACGTCAGGAGGGCGAGCAGATCCTCGTAGAACTCGGCTTTTGCCTCGTCAGCGCTGGTCATTGGTGGGGCGTAGGCGCTGATGATGATGATGATGAGGATGATGATGATGATGATGATGATGATGATGATGATGATGATGATGATGATGATGATGATGATGATGATGATGATGATGATGATGATGATGATGATGATGATGATGATGATGATGATGATGATGATGATGATGATGATGATGACGATGATGATGACGATGATGGAGTTGGATTCCCGGAGAGGCAGGCGTAGGTTAATCAGTGGGTCGGTAATGGTCTGCGGCAGACAGGGCAGTCGTCCAGCAACGTTGTTCCAGATGGCACAGGCGACGTTCGCGTCATCTCGCTCTGCCTTGGGGCGAACGCTGCAGAAGAAGGTATAGCCTGCATCCACCTCCTCGAATTGGCCTTGTTTGGAGAGCTGGTCTCGCTGAGTGCACCGATGTTCACATAGTCGCGCGCCAGTTCCCAAGCGACTAGCACCGTCCTTCGTTCCGGTCGATTGCTCCTGGGATTTTCTGGAAGGGAACGAACAATCCAGGCTGCCAGAATGAGCGGCCTCATCCTAACTGCCCGTGGGCTGGGGCGGATGGTAGGGAAGGAATAAGGGAGACTTTGTTGTTTCTCGCTCGTCTATTTCGACCGCGAGATTTACATCTACGAGTCACAATGCACCAGCAGATAACGTGGTTACGTAGTATTCACTTAAGGCACCTTCTCTAAACTTTTCCCCAGCTATCCGGCTTCTTATTCGTCCCTGAAGGCTGTCGAACTCCACCATGGCTCAAGTTTCTTTTAGTGAAAAGAGACTGGCGTTAGCCCGGACTCCTTACGGGATCTCACGTCGTCTACTGCGTAGGAATTTTTGAGGTGAGCGGGAGGATGGGAAGAGGAGCGAGGTGGAAATTCAGAACACCGGATAATCTTACCTGGTTTGGCCTGCCGATCGAGACGGTTGCCGTGATGCTGCTGCTAGGCAGAGCCTAGCTTCGGAGAGCCACGGTTAGCAGCTGGGTGTCAGTTAAGGGACGCTATGCGTAGTTAACATCTTTAGGCAAGTGAAGCGACCTACTACGACCTTCACGTGAATGCAAGGCTGAGCATCCATACACTCCACACGACAGCTCGACTGCCGTAACCGGCGATGTTTACCTTGTGCTCCACAGCAAGGTGAAGCAGGCACGATGACCTGCGCGTGAAATAGTTCATTGTTACAGTCAGCTTTCGCAGCATCTATCGCACCCTCTCCTCCTCACCCACCTACGCCCGGTGCCAAGGCATAGTCAAGAAAACAAGCGGCGTGAAGGGGAGCAGGTGAATGGCTTGGCCGGAACCGCACCTGGCGTACGACTCCACGCCCCCTGGTCCACAACAAACACGTGACCAGGATTTTAACCAATAACAACAACACAACGGTTCAGAAAGACGACGACGATGATTGGACGGCCATGCCTACACCTGTATACCCAGTGGGAGCGCAAACGCACCTACCGGCAGGGAACCAAGTGTCAGGAAACTGCCAGCGCGTACCAGGCTGCGAGGGCCATGGCATAGCCTTCAAATCCTTTACGCGTAACACGCACGGTCTACTAAACCCTCCGTGTCAGCGCACACCAGGCTGCGAGGACCAGGGTTTGCTGATCCTGGCCTAGCATACGCTTACAATCCTTGAGGTCCGGAAGTTTGGAACGCAGCCCTTCATTTGCCTGGGTAACCAGTCAGTCGTCGACTGGGGGGGGAGGACACTGCTCATATACACACACTCACTCCTCACATGCGTGAGAATGCCAGAGGACACATTAAGATACAGCCGTTGCAGCCTGACCGTCAGCCCATCAGTCCGAAACTCCACACAAACATGCACAATTCGACTGATCTTGTGGGCTGAGTTGTAGCGTCAGTCGGCAGCCCTCCAGGCCGCGTCGCTTGGTGCACTATTATAGCCCCAGGCTCAGATCTCACATTCAGCAGAGGAGCCGCATGGAGAAGGAGCCGGAAAGAACACTTCATACTTAGGTGAGAGGCGTCGGTTGAGTACTTTCATTGTGTGGTGTTGGGTGATGTTGTTTTGCTGTGCAGGTCTTGGCGGGGAAAGAGTGATAGTGTGGTCTAGCGGACGGTTGTCTATCGCAGGTTTTCGTGAATGTGCATGCATCCCGACAAGCCCATGCAATGAGTGGACTTGCGGAGACAGTGAGGCCGGTGGAGGCAGATACACCGAATGCAGGTTGGTGCTCCGGGTACTGGTTCGCCAACCTTCATGTGATGCATTCACAGGTGACCGATCAGGCCGATGCGTGACGTGTCTGTGCTGCGGCAGTGAGGACAGAATATATTCGGGAGTGTAGAATCGGTTGGGGTTGTAAGGCTACTAGCTGGGAGTCATGCTGGTGAATGGGCAATCGTTAATGCTGGGTATGGGGTCGTTGTTGGGTATGCAGGGTGTGTTCAGGGTGTCAATGTTGCGGCGAGCTCCGCCTTCCTGGATGCACATTTGGGTGAATAGACCCATACAGCGACTGAATGTGCGTGTGCAGTGAAGGTGAGTGCGGTGGGTGTATGTCGAGGCTCCAAGCACTGGTGAACTGGTTGCAGTGCGATGCATTCGTAAGTGGTCGGCCAGGCCGATGCGTGATTCGAATGTGTCTTCGCAATGTGGACAGGTTGGCATCGAGTCTCTATTGCTGGCGGTGGGGACGGGGAGGCTAGCTAAACTTCGAGCGTCGTCTCATTGGTGGTGGCAGTAGGAGAAGGGGTGTTGCTGGTGAGGCCTGATCCGGTATTAAGACATATTCAAGATCACCGGAGACGGAAGAAAAGGCAGATGGGTGACACGGCGGAAACCCGCGCCCAGACATGCCTCTACACCCTCTGGTTCACAAATAGAGGTTCAAGAATGGAATAGTGACGGCATAGATTCCACCTGACGCTGAGTGAACTGGCAGTCGAACCTTGATATTTTTGTGGTTGAGGATTCCCAGTAGCGCCTGCCGAATTCAGATTTATCCCTCATGCTCGGCCAACGCATCTACTACATGGTACGTTTGAGGGCAGTTGGTGACAGACTATAGATTTTGAGTCAACATTGCAAAAACTTGGGGTTATCCAGAAAAGCTGACAGTGACGATTACGGTAGCTCCCTCGTTGCTTCCCAGTCCTAGATTTGAAGCCGCCTGAAGAAGGGGGAAAATACGGAAAGGTCGGCTCAACGTCTGACACGATATATCGTCAACACTCGAAAGTAGCATTCAGTCTCTGCTTCTGCTGATAGAAGAGTCGCATGGGTTGTTTTAAAATTTGGATTCCAAAATGAAGCTATCCCAGCGCGCGGAAAAGCATCACTCGACCAGTGCGCCTACCGTCCTCACTGACGGAATGACGGGACTACGCGTCAGCGCAACCGGCCTCCGATCGTCTAAAAAGCTAAAAACTTCACTGCCAAGCAGGCAGAAGTCCTGAGCTCACAGGAAATGACTGCCGCCAGGGTGAACTGTCTATTCTATGCATCGGCTTCGACAGCGAACCAAAATGTGCAAAGTTGGACTGAGTGAATACACAGCCGGAAAACTACCGAGCATGAATCTCTACGTCAACTTCGGAAGTGTGTCCGGTTCCTACGTGTTTGATGCCATACTTTGGTCGCGTTCGCAGGGTTTTCAGTTCAATGGCTTAAGAAATTTGTGCTGGCCCCGAGGAACTTAATTAAGGAGATAATTCTTTTCAAGAAGAAAATGAAGAATTAGTTATCCCAGTAAGATGTTCAGGCAAGAGGGACTTAATACCAACGAAAGCCACATTTCTTAGACAGCTTATTTTCAGCAACATTCAGACAACCAAACCAGTGATTTTGAAGGCCCTAGCCCAACCGCGTGAAAACCTCCCCCCAGTAGAAGCACTGCCCGAAAGTACGTGGCGCCAGCCGAACTCCATGTAAAAGACCCGGTCAGTGCAACGAGTCTTGGCTAGGCTTGGCTGGGCACACAAAAACCTGGAGAGGAAAAGAAGGAAAGGAACCTTAGAGAAGGGGGATCAATGCATCGAAAGTTCGGCAAATAAGTTTGACGTAGGAGCTCTGTACACCATAAAGGTGGACTGGCAAAATAAACGACCAAGTGCTCTCCTCCAATGCAGGTCTCCATTAGATAAATTATTATGGGCTTGGTCTGCCGTGAGGCGCAGAATTGTGAGAAGGAAAGTGTGTGCACTGAGACAGTGAATGTTTGTAAATGAAGGTGCGGACACGAGTGTTACTCAAAAAAACAGTAAAAGATGGGTGACGAAAACTCATGCGTCCTTGTCATCCCAACTGTCTTCGACACAAGCACGCACCCGCTTCTCGTATTCTCTGCGATTGTCGAAGTACAACTGGGCCGCTGCGCTGTTTGCCGGTGAGTTGGGGTTGGGTTCATTAAGAAGCGACTGAATGGAGGTCAAGATTGCAGGGACATCGTAAGTCGGGCTCCATGCTCTAGAGAGAACATCCAAACATATACTACCGTCAGCGTAGATATTGGGGTGGAACATTTTGGAAAGGAAAACAACGCGAGGTGCCTTGATAGGGTATTCTTCGGTAAACTCAAGCTTGAGTTTAAATGTGCCGTCCTCGAAAGCGGTTCCCTTCAGTCCAAAGACGACAGCGTGCCAAACCAGTATGCTGTCCGTGGGAGAGCCACATATGCCCGGAGGTGGGTCGTTCTGCAGGCGTTTGAAATCCCGCAGAAGCCGGCGTTGGGCTGATGTGTTCATCCCAACGGGTTCACCTTTAAACTCCTTTTACTCTCACTTGGCGATTTTATTTTGCAAACTTCATCTCCTCTGTCCTGCGACCTGACTCTTTAAAATCACGAGCTCATCTCTCCGGCCTGACTCGTTTATTATCGTCGATGGCACCCCGGTAGGTGTCCAGTGGTCTCACCATTACACTGCCTGCATTGGAGATACCTGCACTTTCAGTTGCTGGAGAGGCCATCACGAGGCGAAGCACTTTTAATCGGTTAACTGCCAGCAGATCCACACGAATAAGGTCGAATTCATTCGGCTTTGACAAGAGTGCATGGTTAGATTGAGGAAATTCAACATCTAAACATATACAGAGAAGGAATGAGAAATTGTTGTTTGATTAACATCAACTAGAGCATAAGAGCAGTCGAACTAAATGGATAAATACTGGGGTCCCACACGTTAGTTTATGGTGAGTCAAAACATTTTGGATCAACTGAACAGCCGGCAATCTGTCTGAAGTTACATCGGGGAACCACAGGCCAGGCTTCCTCCGAGAGCTGGACCATTCTATTCTCCTTCACATTTATCGGATGCTCGTCGATGTTCATCCAAGAATGTCCATTTAGTTGGTCTAATCACATGTAATTTTGGCCTTTGTGCATTCTGACTTCTGACAGACACGAGCCGATCCTTGCATTTTAGAGCATGCGTCACCCGCAAAAGGGAAAGCATGTTTCTTGATGCATCCTGGTGAATCACTTGGTGACCAGGTCGTGTGCCGCTGACGTAGACAGGCTGTCGTAGACCTGCCAACCGTTTGGTCCAATCCCATGACCAGCTGCTTCACAGGCTCGAAAAGTAGACTGATGCATTTGGAGATGGAAGAGGGAAAGTGGGGTCGAGAGGGGGGAATCAATCCCCACAACACATCAGCGCATCCCGCATTAGGTAGGACAAGGGAAAAAGTACCCCCTGCACTACATTCCTATAGAACTGACACTTATTTGATAGCCTGATAAACGTCAAAAATGTTTTGTGGGCTCATTGTCGCTAATAGCACCTTCTTCCTTCTCTGTTTGATTGGCGGACAGTGGTTCTAGTTGGTCCCCTGCAACCTGCATGACTTATCCGATGGGGTTCATTGTCCACAGTTGGTTTTGTACTATTCACCGGGATGGTTGCTATGGAAGCCCCTTGTCCTTTCCCTATGTTGTCAGCTGCCAATGTAAGCAGTGGCTTAAAGGCATATCCCGTGATCCCTGTAACCTATTACGTCGGGCAAAGTGGAGAACATTACCGTTCACTGTCTTGGTTTCGCCATCCAGTGAACGGCGCCTAGACTACCGATGTGAGTCCATTAATTTCTGGCCGTATCTTGGGCACCTGTCAGGCCGGGTATCGCAGTGATCAGTCGGTTTTCTGCTGACGGATAACAAAATCGGATGGTGAGCGTCAATGAGCTTCTTAGTCCTTCCCTGCTTTTATGCCTGTTACCTTACAGATCGCGCGGAAGTGTCTGTCGCCTCATTTCTTATGCTGTTGCCAATGTCATAGACACTCTCCCTTCCTTTGTTCCTTGCCATCACCCCGGATTGCAACTTTAGGTCACAAATGGTGAGACCGGCGGTTTTTTGTTTGTGTCCTGTCTTACGCTTTCTGATGTCTTTCTTTCCTTCAGTCGCTTTTTTTATCAGTCACCCATTTGGTCGCGTTCGCATAGCATCCCCGACTTCCGACCGCGTGTGGCTACCTTAATTATATCAGTAGACACTCTGTATGAATATAGTCCGGGGCACCAATTCCCTTGCCCAGCCCTTCATTGTAATAAATATGTAGCGCTAAAAGCTCTAACTAGGAAGTCTGCCAATTGAAAGGGTAATTTACTTAGCCCTCTAGGGATGAGCGTCAGGTTGGGTCTAGCGGCAAACACTTTTACTTGTACCTATGTTCATAAAGTAAATTACCGGTCTCAAGTTGGCAGGTTTTATTAACTTCTAATTTTGTTTTCTTTCTGGCTTATTTAAATCACTCTTAGGACTGGTAGTTGATGCGATCAATAAATCAGTGTATTTGGGGTAAACGACCGAAGCCTTTGAAAATTCCATTTACACAGCACAGGTTCGCGAAAAAAAAACCATTTGATCTGCAAATATTTTACAGTTCATTCTCAGTATGCAAGTTTCATAACACACAGAGAAACAGATGTGGTAAAAAGGTGGACAGTTTACGGTTGAAATGTAAGCAACACATTCACTGCCCTTACACGCAATATTTCCTGCAGAGTGTCAGAGTTTCCGTAAAAAAATGAGTTATAAAGAACAACTTAGTAAGATGTTTGTAACTATAACAGTGACTTACCAGATGGGATTAGGTAACTCCCCGTTGTCCTTTGACAAGTGAGTACCCAGAGGCCTTTTAAACACGCTCAAGATGAGGGACTACACAATGTGTGCCGTTAAAAGAATTCCAGCATGAATGACTCTCTGCGAGCAAAAGGAGGAGCGTTGATTGGTGTGGCCAAGTCCCCTTTTGATTTGGCGGTCGTGTCGTCTGAGATCCTTTTTCCGTGACATTTCGAAAAGCCCTTCTCAATCCAAATCAAAATCCGACCTCTCGAGGGCTGAAAAGTTACTGTAAGGCCACCTTTGTTGCGTCAGTAGTGGAGGGTTTGGAGATTCAAGGCGGCCAGGCGCTGCTGGTACGTCAAATGTCCAAGTTCAGGATCAAGCTTTGAAGCAGGTGGTTGTACGTCTTCGAGAATACCGTTTCTTCCCTAAGACACGTCCTCCAGGATTCTATCGGATATTCCAGGTGCAGTCGCACATATAATCTATGTACCTTACCGAAGATATCAACATTCAGGTTTACAAACGCTCTGTGTATCCAAATTTGGAACATTGCATTGTTACGCTTAGGTCGACTTTAACAATCTCTTCAAGGCAGGAGGTTATTACCGACAAAGACGAGGGAGACTAGAATGGCCATTTCTGGTTCATTGGTCGTCGTCGGCCAGTCATACCCAATCCCGAGGTGTGGAACATCTGGGGCTCGATCCCGCGACCTGTCAGTTAGAAGACTAACGCCCCTAACGACTGAGTCACGGGCTCGTTGTCATGTCGGTGGCGATCGGAAATGTACAGAAAAAGCGATCGGTGTGTGCCTCTCCACCACTGTACATTTCTGATCGCAACCGACAGGACAATGAGCCTCTGGCTTAGCGGTTAAGGCGTGCGACTTCTGGCAGGCCGCGGGATCGATCCGCAGATGTTCCACACTTCGGCGTTGGGTATGACTGACTGACGACGACTAATAAACCAGAAACAGCCATCCTGGTCTCCCATTTTTCTGCCGGTATATTGTTCTGCCTACACTATGCACTGCTGCACGGCCGCTGGCTAGCCTCAACAGAGAACCCGTAAGACACAACGAAAGGAATGAGTTCCAAAAAAACGACCAATGAGCGTCCCTCTACCAAATTCCTCCAAGGTTTCTGGGCCTAGGATTTGATTTTACAAGAGATACTTCTTCGAAATCTTTAGTCCAGGTTAGGCGGTATCTTCTAACTCCTAGGTCCGATATCTTTTGAACAGCCCGCTTGTGTGACACCCAACCAAAGTCCTTGCTGAAGCCAAAGTAAATGGCATCGACTTGACGCCCCTCATCCACAGTCTTTGATCAACGCTCGAACGACGTAAAAAGACTTGTAGCACAGGATCCTCTTCGTAGAAACCCCGCTGAGCTGGCCTTATTTGACAGCGGAATGTATCAAACAAGATAACTAAGTTTTTACCTACTCTCTCCATCAACTTACAGAAAATGCATGTCAGCCCGACCAGGCGATAGCCTCCCTCATGGATATGTACGGTATTTGCCAACTTCCACGTATCCGGAAGTTTACCGAACTCGAACGATTTTCCAAAAAGGCTAGATGCAGGTTCAGGTAATTCGCAAGTTAAATATAATAGTACAGTAGGAAACCCACCCGGTCCTTGTGACTTGGCCGGATCTAGCTCCTTTAACTCTGTTAGAACTTGCTGCGACGCAAATAATACTGTACCCATAGGCAGGTTGTTGGCGAACTATGGCAGAGAGCTGGAACGGCGGGGAGTTCCATGGAATAGACATGAGAAAAATACTAATGGAATCTCGGTCTTTTGAAGGCTACTGATCTCAAGTTAGTTGCTTTATCTTGTATGGGTGCTTAATGGTCACGAATCTACGCTTTACTCCGGACGTAAACATAAAGTGTTCTGGGCTTTTGTGGTACCTCTTCCAGGAGCTCCAGTTCATAAGAAGTATGTGTTTCACTGGGAAGTTTTTTTGTTTAATTTAGTTGGCATCTACAGTATTGAGGTTTGTTTGGATTCTTCGTTTGTAGGAAGACTTTCTGTAGCTCGTGCCTCTTTCTACTTTCCTCTTCAACCGCAGTCGCCAGCCATTTCTCTGTGCTTCAAGCAGAATGTTTCATCAGGGGATAGCACTCTTCAAGGAGGCGCTGTATAATTATTTAAAACGTTCCCTTACATTCTTTGACATCTCCTTCTGATACACCCGTCCAGAGTGTGTGTTCGGTGACCAATTTCACTGCGCCAAAGTTAATAAACCAGACATCACTCGACGATATTTGACTTCGTTCGTGGACAGTTACAAGCGTCGATTCCCGCGCTAATGTCATCTGATTGCAGGAACCTAGGAGTTCGCCTTCTATTATTTCATCAACGCATCCCTCACCCTTGGTAAATAACAGATCTAGACATCTTTATGTCCGATATTCACGCTCCTGAATGACTGTTTAACCGTTATGCAAGGAAAACTCATCAAGTGACATGTCCAGTAGCATGTGGTCTGATACTTGTCCATGACTACCAACTGTCATGAGGTTCCAGCTAACCAGGGTAGCATTGAAATTTCTCATAATAACCGTGTTTTACCTCCTTCTGGTTCCGGAAGTTGAGTGATCAGCTCTTGATCCTTGTTTACAGGCTGCTTTGAAGGCCTATGTACAGCAGTTTCAGTTAGACTGT